ACAGAAGAATTATTTGTGCAAAACTTAAATTAGCAGAGGTAAAGTTTTGGAGATTTAATCTCTTTTTATATGGTTGTTTTTTGGTGAAGAAAAACAAACGTTCATCTCAGTAGGATTTTCAAGTTGAAGAAACCTAATGTATTCTGGGAACATCTGTAGATTTCACATGCTCACAATGCACAGCTGTGGTGGGTAAATTCATTCAACTGTTGTAGTGCAAATAATCTCAAACTTTTGAAGGGTAAAGTGTTAAATTATCTGCCAGAGGAAGTCTTATGAGCAAAGCTGCTCATGTTTGGAACTAGCTTTCTGTTAGTGGTTTGCTTTACTCAAAATCTAATTTTGGACATTGTATCCATGAGTAACAGAAAGCGGATAATATTTTCAGGTTAGCAGTGAGATGGAAAACGCTGGTAGGTGATTCTGGGGCAATTGGTCACATAACCATAGACCATTGAGAATTTTTTAATATGAAAGGCTGTGAAGAATGAGGGTTTACAGGTGGCAGATTAATGGTTAACACAGATGTGGATACTACTAGTATATTTTTTTGCTTAAATCTCTGAAGATTGTGTTCTAATATCGTCATTCATGTTTGACTAGATAAACATATTACCATCATGATAAGATGTTGCTGTTGTGACTACTATGAGTGCTCTAATTTGGAACAGATTAGCCGTCATTTCTTTGATATAAAACCATCTATCTACTGGCTTAACATATGCATTTGCCTGCAGTAGCATGTATTAATTGTCTGCATTAATTGCTGTTGGAAAATGCGGCGTTGACTTCGAAATACCTTGGGATCTTGAGGTTGTAAAAAGTGCTATGTAAATGCAGTATTCATTCATTCATGTGAATTGTGATTTTTGAGTCCCAAAGCGCAGTAATAATTTGAGCTTTTTTTCCTTGCAAACTCCCACTGACTTGGCTGCAGTGAGCTCAATCGATGACCAAATGGCAGTTTTTCAAAAATAAAACAGCCATAAATAGCCCATCGTGGTTCTCCTACAATTCTGTGATCCACTCTTTGAAAGTTATTTTGCCAGTTAGAGAAAGCTCTGAGTTGAGGTTTAATGTTGTTGCAAAAAGCTTGTGCTGCTTACTGAAACTACTGTTGAAAAGGAGTTGTTCTAAACTTAAAGTTTAGAGAATGAGTGATTGTTCTGCTTACAGTAATTATCATAGTGCAGAAGTGATTTCATTGTAGACTGGAATCTCCTAGTCAAAGCAGAGCAATAAGCACTGCAGTGGAAAAGGACAGTAAGACTTTGTAAAAGTCTGATTATACCCGGAGAAGCTACACAATGTGTTAGTAGAATTTCTGTATCTCGATATTAAGAGTTAATGTTGGACAACTACATGGATCAATCATCTCATAGCTCAGTCTTAATTGGGGATTTTTGGAAATGACAAGATGTCATGTATCTTAATTTCATTAATACTATAAATATTAGGCAAGTGCATTGAAAAAATTGTTTTGAATAAGTGATTTTGACAGCTAATTTGTTTCTAATAACTTGTGGTATAATATTTAATCATACATTTGATGCTTGACAAGTCATTAAGCCAAGTATGTAGATTTTTGTGATCTTGTGACGTCATTATGCTAATGAAACAGAAATCACCGGGACTAGCTATCTCTTTGTATAAGCAAAGGTTAATACATTTATGCACTGCCAAATAATACAATGCCCACTTTATACTGAACTTGGTGTACATTTATCGATTGAATGAAAAATGAAATGTGATGAATAACTGACAGATTTCCATGACCACTAATTAGTATTTGCTGCAAAATATTATTATTATTATTATTATTATTATTATTATTATTATTATTATTATTATTATTATT